AAGAAGCTCGTTTGAAAAATGAAACTGTAACACGAGAAAACATCGCGTGGATGCCGAGAGAGAATTCTTATTCTGGAATGTACGTGTTGAAAAGGTCAAATTTATCGACGGTGAGAAATTAACGAGGAGCCGACATATCTGTTTGCAAGGAACACAGTCGTTTCTTTCATCGATTTTTAAAGAAAAAGCTGAGAATAGAAGTGAACGAATTTATGAATGATGTGAGAAACTATGACGGCGAGCGAAGATCGGAGAAAGAAAGAAGCTGATGAGAAATCGTGATAAAAAAGAATCTAATTGAATTTCTAGAAAATGTGAAGGAATGAATGAGTTGAAGTCAGTATACGCGTGCATTCAAACTTCTTAAAAGACAGAAAGGGGCAAAAATCGAGGCAAACAGAGAAGCATGCGTGGATGTTTGATTGGATTTATGGAAAAGGAGAGAAACATAGGACTGGGTGATTCGAAATTCTCTGAAAGGAAGATTGCATCTTTTATTATTTAAAAAGAAGCTTACTTGCAGGAAGAAGATAGATAGGAAGGTAGATAGATCTATGTTGAACTTCTAGTCAACTTCTGTAAAACTTCTGGCTGAACTTTTACGAAAAAACGAGGAAAAGCAAGGATCGAGAGAGTTTGAACAAGAGTTTGTTTCAGATTGTTTGAAAGAAGAAGAAGAAGAGGAATGACTAGAAGAAGTGGAGTATACGAATTACTCGATTGTTCTGAAATTACAAACAAGATTCAATCTGTGAATTATCACGACTAGAAAAAAGTTGGTTAGTCTTGATCAAATCAAACATTGAGTCTTGGAAATTCATAAACATGTTTCAGAGAATATATCCCCCATAACATCTCATTTAACATTATATAGAAATTCGAATTTTCACAGATTTCCATGTAACGTGTAAACCTGCCTAATGAATCTAATAAATACGAAAAGAAAAGAAAAGTATAATGCATAAGTATTTGCAAAATCATGTGTGCTGTGATCATTTCAACTATCCGTAGAATTAGAACTGGAACATATCTGGAAGAATTATTTAGAGTGAATTCATCGTAATCGTGCAAGTGAGAAATATAGAATTAACGATATTCGTTCGCATCATTTATAAAATTTTTATGTAACGTGTAAACCGTATAAACACGAAATAATGGATAAGTATGTGCATATCAATCATCCATAGAATTAACTAATCCAAGAACTAATCGTAGATAGTAAAGACAGAATTAACAAAGACATTCATTCGCGTCATTTACGAAATTTTCATGTAATAAAAATTTCGCCTAATAAACCTAATAAATACGAAGAAAAAATCATAACGTGTACTTGCAAATCATCATATGTGCTGATCATTTCAATTGTAAAATCATTCAAATTGAACAGATCCGGAAGAATTATTCAAAGTGAGAATTCATCTTATAATTATAACCATGAATTCACATTATGGATATTAAAGAGACAGAGTCCAGACATTCCATTTATTGGACAATAATGATCGTTGTTCATTAAATCTTTTTCTAGATCGAAATAATACTTGCTAGATGGAGCAAGAAATCGATGATCTTATCCTTCAGCCGGTGAAGGCCACTTTAGTGGTCCTCAACCATATCGTTGATCAACTTAAAGACCACTTTAGGCGAGCATGAATTACGCCTTCGTTTATGGTCGTTCGCGGAGCTGATCGAGTGTCGCGAATTTGTCTACGTGTTACTTAACGTGCTTGTTCGAAGTCCTCGAAACAGCTTATGAAGAAATGATCCTTGTTTCAAAGGCGAAAGCGTGAGAAAAGAAAAAAATTGGGAAAAATTTCAATCGGATGCTGCGAAGAGCAATGTTTTAATCGAAAAGCACCAAAAATTTGGCAAAATTAATAAAAAAAAAGTTCAATAATTTCTAGTTTCAGCGATGCAAACGAGAGACGGAAAATTAAGTTTTCACTAGGTTTGAATAAAATAATTCGATACCTTTCTTTGGACAACGATTTCGTCGATAATACTTTAAATAAGTTTTTGATAATACAACGATAAGATAAAGAGAAAGATGTTGATTATCTATCTTAAGTGCGATTATACTGTCAAAATTAATAAAGGATAAACATTATAATTAAGTTAACGATAATTTTGGTGAAGTGACCCGATATGTTTCTTTGAACAGCGACGAATTCAACGACGAATTCGAGTTCGCGATATCTTTTTGATTGACACTTGAAGTTAATTTCTGACGATACAACGACGAAATAAAAAACGACGATAACGATTGTTCGTCTCGAACGTGCGATCTGTGATTCTGCCCAAAAATTAACGAAGAACAAATATCCGAATGGTCATATATCTTAATGATAATTTTCCAACGAAGAAACTGAAAGTTCAATTTATAAATTTTATGTTAAAATTCTAACGTCGTACGTCGTATGCGGTAGAACCAAATGAAATTACAAACACGTCCCGATAATGTCGTTGTGTGTGAGTGTGTGCAAGGACGTGACAAAAATTTCACTTGAAAATTTGCAAATGTAACGAAGTTTGTCTACTACTAGCTGGCTTATCAGTGACGCTAAATATACAGCTGGCTACAACAACGAGCGTGTAAATTGTCTCCTTAATGCCAGTGGTTACGCGGTGACGAGCTAATTTCAAAGTGTTTCCTCCTGTTATTTGAGATAGTCATTGCTTATCTATTTCATTCAACGAATTCTGAAACGTGTTACGCGTTCGGAACGGACACGCTGTAATCCAAGATAAACGGAGTGTTATCGTTGAGCAGTATGCAACATTAGCATAAAACTAATCACCGTCAGAGCTCGCGACGATCCCCCGAGACAGCTAACGTCATTATACGATATTAATTCGTTTCTTCATTCATATGTTTCCACCGTAGCGTGTAACAACAACGTTGTTAACACTTGTTTTCTATTGGATTTTTAGACATTTCTCAGATATATACGTAGCGCTTTTTATCTTTCGTTTGTTTTCAAGAAAATCGAATTTGAAAATTTGCTTTCGAGACAGTGATGTTAATTTATTCGTTCGTTCGTGTTTCCTTTGTAGCTTATAATAATAGCACCGTACTCTGTTCTCCATTTTGAATACTTATTTACATGTATTTCTCAAGGTGCTATTTCTTAATTTTCGAGGAAATCGTATTTGAAAATTCCTTTAGCAGATACATTTGAATTTGACTAATTATTAACTACGAGTAAACGATACAAGAAAATACGAAAATCGTATACGAAAATAAGTACAAAAGTAATTAAGATGTATAATAATAATTCAAAGTGCAAATAAGTAATTAAAATAATGATAATTTAAAAAAATAA